AGTTATTATTGGGCTTAAGGCTTACAGCCCCTCCCCCCATTGACCATTCCCTGTAAAGTTTCCTTCATGGGCCAAGTGAAGGATGTAAATTAGCTAAATATCTAGTGCCCACTTATGGTTTATTTCTTGCTGGTTGCGCTGTGATGAGTTTATAATTTGGAAACTTGTATTGTTAACTCACACGGACAACATCAGTCAGTTTACTGACCAGTGGAGACTCAGATGTACTTGCTTGCCAAGGTGTGTAGCAGTACGCATTATAATCTCACCTTGCCACTGTTTACCAACCGAACATTCAGAATTCATTTGTCAAGGATAGTACATTTCCAGATCAGCGGAGAATCATCCCCATCATCTACGTTTGTTACTTGCTGTGCAGTTTGTTTCAGATGTAAAAGCTATCGGTACCTTAGTTCTGTCAGGAAAAGTAACTTTTTTTCAGTTAAAGTTTAATCCATATTTTTAGCATGCTGGTTAGTGTCCAGTGCCATAAACTGGAAGAATGAATTGAAAACCCAGCATTTGATATGATAATTATCACCTGTGATATCCTGTTTGAGCTCAATGTTTGATCTGGTATTGGCGAATAAGTAAATTTTGGAGACAGTGTTAAACTGACTAAGCTGAATTCCATCCAACAGCAACTAGCATTTATATAGCGCCCTTCATACGGGGCAGCGGGATTTGAAAGTAGGGAGAGGGCAAGGCAGCGGGGTTGAGGGAGAGAGTTGTAGAGTTTCGGGGTGTAGTGGCTGAAGGCACGGCCACTGATGGTGGAGCGGAGGGGACAGGGGACAAACCGGAGGCAGCAGCCAGCCGAGCGGAGGCAGCTGGTGATGGAGTGGGAGGTAATCAGTTCAGATAGGTACGGAGGTGCAAGGGCATGAAGGGATTTGAAAATGAGTGAGAGGATCTTGAAATCGATCCGTTCGGTAATTGGGAGCCAGTGGAGCCTGACAAGGACCGGTGTGATGGGGGTACGGAGTTTCGTGCAGGTGAGTATCTGGGCAGCAGAATTTTCATTTAGTTGAATTTTGTGTATGGTGGAGCTGGGGAGACCAGCGAGGACGGCATTGGAATAGTCCAGCTGGGAAAAAATATTTACCAAGATGTATTGTTGGCAGTGTGTTAAGTAGGAGTCAAACCATGCGTGTGCAGTCCCACTAAGGTAGATGAGAGAGAGGCGGAGTAGGAGGATGCCATGATCGACTGTGTTGAATGCGGCGGAGAGATTCAGGAGAACAAGGAGTCAGAGGGAAGCCTGTTCACAGAGAGAAGGTCATTTGTTACTTTGATGAGCATTATCTCTGTATTGTGGGCAAGGCGAAAACCGGACTGGAGGGGTTTGAATAGGTAGTGTAGAAAGAGGTGTAAGTGAAGTTGATTTGCAATGATGAGTTCCAAAACTTTGCTCAGGAAGGGCAGGTTTGAGATGGGTCTGAAGTTTGTGAGGTTGGAGGGTGGATCAAGGATAGGTTTTTTAAGGAGAGCAGTGATGGCTGCAGTTTTGAGGAGGAGTGTGATAGAGCCTGAGGAGAGGGACTGGTTGATTGTGCACTTAATAATAATAATAATAATCCTTGCATTTTACCATCTTAAGTGAGGATCGAGGGTGCTTTTGAGAGAGGGTGTGAAGGAGGTGGTGGGCAGTGGAGAACAGGATTTGGGGGTTGTTTTTGGCCTCGAGAATGACCTGTGAGTAGAAGATGGTTTTGGCATGAGAGAGGGAGCAGCGGTACGCATAAAGATGCTCGAGCCACAATTGGCAGTGAACTGTGAGGCCAGTTTTGTGCCATCTGCGCTTGAGCAACCAAATTTGGGATTTGAGGAACGGAGATGACTGTTGTACCAGTAGAGTGAGTAGGCTTGGAGAGGGACCTGGATTTGTGGGTGGTTGTAGATTGTGGGGTGGGTGGGATGGGGGAGAAACAGCAATCGGGTGTGAGGAGGGAGAGTTGGAAAGGATGTGGATGAGAGAATGGTGGTTTAACTGTTGGGGAGGTAGGCCTTGTGGAGTAGGTGGGGGATGGAGCAGTCGGCTTGGCTGCTCTGGGTCAGGCATCGACGAGTGCTGTGGTGAACCCGGTGGAGAGTGCCCAGGCTGGAGCAGAGGGAGTCTGTGAGAGGGACTGGGGGTGAGAGACTACGGGGAGGATGGTAGGCGAGAAGGACTGTGGGAGTCACGAAGGGTGGAGAGTAGGAGCGGGGCATTTTGGGAGGGGGTCGCTCGAGTCAGGGCTGGCAGTCAAACGTGCATGACGAGTCTGGGAGCAGAGCAATCAGCGAGGCATGGTCAGCCCACAGGCATGGCGGCTGTGAGAGGCTAGAGGAGACAGTGCAAGGGGAGAGAGGTGGGAGGACATTCATAGTGTTACTTACCAGGTAAATAATTCAAAGAGGATTTGGGAGAGCGCGGAGAGAAGTGAGAGAGGACAGGAAGGGAAGGAGATGAATAAAATAAAACTATACTTGACTTGAGTTTGAACTGGCACGCGGAAATAGAACAAAAATGACATTTTGGTATGAGAATATTTAAAAATTAAGATTCTACAGACTGTGTGGGAAAGAAGCAGTCAAAATTGATTCCAGCATCCCCAGCAAACTCCTGGGATTGTTGCAGGTAGAAGGCTGTGCACAATGAAATCTGTCAGGTCCCTCCCTCCTTCCCTCCCCTGTAATCAAAGTGTAGCACTTTGTTCAGACAGGAATAATGACACCACCTCTCCGACTTACCCTGTATTAGTTTGGAGACAACGGCGCATGCTTTGGAAATCCTACACATATATAAATAATATATATACTGTATTTCAAAATTGCAACTTGCAGCGAATTCTGCAGATGCAGTGCTTTGTTGTTCTTTTATCTATCTGTAAAAGACATGTTTATCAACCATTTAAAGCTTCTACAGCATGCCTGAGACTTCAAAGCAACCATGACTACCGGCATTAGGTCTAACATCACAACAAAAGATCCAACTGTAAATAAAACTTTAATAAATCAGCTGTGAGACCACTCAGACTGTTCGACTTGTCAATCTGGAGATGAGATCAAAACTGCAGGATGGTATTCTGTATAAATAGTGATTGACTTCAAAACATTCCGTCGAACTTTGCAATAGCTAATGAAGATAGGATAGTCTATAAATAGGTGATATTTGTCTACACCTACACCGCACTTGAGAGCAATTACTTGCTTGAAGGGCCTTGGGGGTGTTGCGAATAGAGCCGCAGTGTGCATGACCAGAAGCTTGCTGGTTCAAATCCCAGTGCTAAATTGCTGGTATCAGCCGGAGTTATATGGGAACAACAACAACAAGATTACATTTGTACAGCGCCCTTCACGTCAGGAGGACGTCCCGAGGGAAGGCTGAACTTGTCTGGCCTCGCTGGGGAAAGGAGAAAACAGCTAGAATTCAGATCATCTTTGGGAGACAAAAAAGAGAAAACTGGAGGTGGGGAGTGAACAAAAGAAACAACCAATCATAGCTCAATTGTGTGTTAGCCTGAGTCAGTTGGCAGGATTCTCACCTGAGTCAGAAAGTTGTGGGTTCATGCTCAACATTAGGATTTAGAACCCGTATATTGTATGCTAACACTCGACGGCAGTGATAAGGGGAGGTGCTGCATTGTTATAGGTGATGTCCTTTGAATGAGTCATTAAACCAAGTTCCAAACTGTCTGTTCAGGTGGATATCAAAGATCTCAACAATTCAAAAATAGAAGGAAGTTTCTCCTGGTGTCCTGGCCAACAATGCCCCAGATTAAAGAATTGATCACCCACTTCATGGCTGTTTGTGGGGCCTTGCTCTATGCAAATTGGCTGCTGCATTTGCCCACAATATACACAGTCACTACACTTTTCAGTATGTTGTGTGAAGTGATTTGAGACATCTCAATGATGTGATAAGACTCTACATCAAATTATTATTATAATTTCCCAAGAAACATCCAGTTTCTTGGCAACCAAACTCTCTTCTGCAGGAGAAAATCTGTTCATTCCATGGGGTTTGCTACTTAATGCACCCTGGAATATATATATGTGCATATATATAAGATCTTTCCTTAAAATCTAACAAAAATAATGAGCCATTTGTCATTGCCAGAAATGTCAAAATCCTTGGAACGACCAACAAACATCCTCATCTCGAGAAAGAAGACTGGGACTGACAGGTACCATATGGTACAATTGAACCATTGAAAATTACAATGCAGAAGAAAGCCAGTCCTCTGATCATGTTTGTGCAATCTCTGTGAAACAGTAGTCCATTTCATGCCATTTGTCTACTTTTCCCATATCCTTTTTTTTTGCTTTAGCTGTCTATCTAATTTAACTACTAATTCATTACCTGGAGAAGAAGATGTTGCAGAAGAAATTAGATATGTATTCTTCACCAGTGTATTTCTCAAGTATTTGCAAGTTTTATGACTCAATCAATAATCCATATCATTGACGCAATAGCTGTCTAGGCTGACACCCCTTTGCAGTATTGTGGGTGTGCTGCATTATTGGAAGTGTTATTCTTCATATGACATGTTAAACCAAGGTGTGCTGGTTCAGGTGGATGCTAAAAATCCCATGCACTAATCAAAAACAGAAGTGAGTTTCTCCCAGTGGCCAACAATCCTACAGAAATAAAAGTAATTCATTTCAGAGCTGTTTGTGGGACATTGTTGTGCACAACTTGGTAGCTCGTTCAGCTATATATACACAGCCACTACACTTTTCAGTCGATCCTGTGAAATGTTTTGAAACATTTCAATTACACATAAGGTGTTATATCAAATTCAATAATTAGTGTAACAGATGTGTCTATGCTATTGTTTCTTTAATTGAAGTAAATGTCATGTAATTCAAGTAAAGAACATCTTCATTTTGTATAATAAAAACAGACACTCTTACTGGAGAGCATAAACCTCTGCAGTGTTCAAAGTTTGTTCAGGCACTTTAGTGGAGAATACAGAAAAACCTGCAGTTTTTTTTAAAAGTTTTTTTTTCTCTTATCCGTTACAATTGCATGAATCTTATTACAACTGCACTAGTCTGCCTCTCTCCAATTTCACAATGTCACATCAATCTTACAAGCTGTATTCTTTGCAGCACCTAATAAAACTATTTCACAGTAAAATAATAGTTGACATAGCAAGTAACAATGGCAGCCATAGAAAAGATGAAACTTGGCATGTTCTTAGATCTACCAGCTCTTAAAATGACAGTTGCTTGGTGGTATTTTGTGGGTTATTAGTTTCTTCGGTTCCATAAAGGTCTGCCAGCTTTTTGAACCGAGGTCCCCAGTCACTGAGGTAATCATATTCCTGCTCAGTCTCTGAAGTAACTGATTCTAAGGAACTAAGTGACTCAACTGTGGAACCATTTCCTTCATAGGCATATGTCACTAGGGAATCATAAGGAGGTGCACTGGGATCTGCATCATTCTCTTGCAACCTCTGGTTAATGAAATCTCTGATATCTGTGTTGTTCTGTATAACAATGGTTCGAAGTTGCGGATGGAGCTTCTCTGGTTTTACATCCCTACGCAATTGAGCATCTTCCATCACATCTGGTTTCCTCAGTGTGCTAATGTCAAAGGCTTGTGTGTCCTCCTCTCCTCCTCCTTCATCATCATAACTGATCACGTTGTCCCTGATATCTTCCTTAGAGGTCATGCAAATCTCTTTCTTCCTCTGCCTTCGCAGTGCCACAAAGAGCACCACAATCACTGAGTAAAGCAGAAAAAAAAGGAAGTTTAAGTAAACACTTTTCTTCAAAGTAATTAAACGACCGAGCCTTATTTCTTTTTAGCTCAACCGATTATATTTGAGGTTTAGTTTGCAATATTTCTTAATGCAATTCTAAAATAAGGTGTCCAAGACATGCAAATTGGTGGTGGGGGTGGGGGAATGTGATTATCGTTAATTATTAAAATCAAGCTGAGATCTCATTAATCACAATTGTACGGCAGCAATTAGAGATCACTAATAATAAAGATAACAGCAGCTGCTATCTTCGGCCAGCTCTGGGCCCAACCATTCTACTGAAATCAGCAGGGTATCTTCCCCGGCACCAGCTAAATTTTATTCTGGTTATGTATGTTTATAACTACACATTCAGACTTCAATGCTTCTCTTCACTTACTAAATGAATAGTTAACAAGTCTTCCGGTTTTGCTAATACTGTGGTCTACCTCTGTTTAGATACACCATTGTACGGGGTAACCAAAACATTGTGATACCATTACAATGTCTAATAAATCTTAAAGAAATTATGATTTTTTTCTTTTAGGTAACAGGGTAGCTTCATGATGTTTTGGTCAACCTGTGTGTATGCATGAGTATGTATGAGAGATTTCTTATAAAGACACAGCAGTCAACTAAATATATGGAGAACATAATCAACCATATCATCAAGTGACCTTTTGCTTTCAGCTTGCTTCCTATTTTATTGATGATTGATGGCCAGATTAACATTGTTTTGCTCAAAGTGTATGAGTGAAATCAATGAACATTGCCCATGCTACGTTACTGGAGTAGACTCACCAAGTAGTATAATGATGCAAAGCAGGATTGCTATCAGTGCCTCTGTGCTCAAACCCACTGGTAGGAAGATTGCTTCTACATTACAGGACAGGATAGTGCCATCCACGTCACATCTACACACCCGGATGGTCAGTGTATTTGTGCTGCTTTGTACTGGATAGCCACTGTCCGAGATCACAATAGGAAGAAAATAGAATTCCTGCTGCCTGCGACTGAAGCCATTCCTCTTGGTTACAATGCCAGCTGTGTTGTCTGCAACAAAAACAGCCAAGGTTGAGAAAATGGAGAGTGAAACAAACCAACTCTTCAACCAATGAGTTTTTCAAAACCCACAAATGGATCTGTTCATAGTATTATGCACAGTGTATTCCTCTCCCAACAGCAGGTAATTGAAATTAGTGCTGAGGATTTGTGGCTACATCCATGGTGAGCACATAAACCCAGTTTGCTGATCGACTGTTAAGAGCAGCTATTGTGAGAAATCAGGTCCTTCATGACAAGGTTACATAACATAGCTGAGCAAAGATGATCAATGAAAGGAGAAATGACAATTAGGTACTTATAAGGTGTGCCATTATTTGTGAACCTATTAGCCTATTATCATCAATAATAACAACTTTTGTTTATATGGAATCCTTCATTCAGGTAGTGTCTCAGAGTGCATGAATCATCCTTTGTAAGTGAATTTCTCAGCTTATCTCATTTCTAACTAACCACCAAATTTGCGCTGTAAATGGACAATCATTCTTTAATACAGTAAAACACTGCCAAAGTGTGAATGTAGTAATAAAGTGCAATGTGATTTATTTATTTTCTGTTGATTAATTTAAGTGAAATTCATCTATCACTCCCCAACTTCCTCCTTCCCCTCTTTCAAGGCACATCCCAAAACATACTTCTTTGACAGTGTTTATGATAATCTTTCCCCTTCCCACCCCACCCTTGGATCTCACACACAGCATGGGTGCCCATCCAGCACTGTGAATGATCTTTGGGATGTCCTCCAAATGTGAAAGATGCTGCATAAATGTAAATTGTGTTTTTTTATTATTAGTCGCTGGCACATAGGAAATGAGCAGGTCGACTGGCACAAACACAGATAATGGGGTCCAAAAGTATAGTCAGATTTACCCTACAATGGAGCACACACTGTAGTTATTTCAATGTGGGGGGAGGGGGGAAGTAACATATAAGGTAGATTCAAATAAAATAACCAAAATATTTTATGTTACAAGTCAAGAATATCTCACTCCTGAGCAGAGTGATCCCACCATGTGCACAACAAAAAACAATAAAGTTATCAGGCTTCTTGCAATCATACATCTGTCCCTTCTTTTATCACACAATTCAAAAGAAATGTGCGGCAACAATAGCTTGCATTTAATATAGTGGCTCCTTACACACAACTGCGTTTGGGAGTGCTGCAGAATGGTGGGGTCAGTTCCGAACAAGCGGCAGATTATTTAGAACTCTGCAGCTCACGTCCTCTCCTGCACCAGGACTATCATCACCATCATCACTCAGCTCCACTGGCTCTCTATTCTCCATCGGATTGAATTCATAAGGAGGTGTGTACTTCGCCCTTACTTTCAAATTCCTTCACAACCTTATTGTACCTTACCTCTGCGACAATGCAGTCCCAGGAAACATCAGCTAGCCTTTATGTCTCTTGTACAATCTGCCTCACCATTGGTGGGCAAGACCAGCCATTCAGCTCTTCCAAAATTCACAGAGGATCTCTCCCCATAACTTCAAAACTACCTGCAAGGTCTATCTTTTAAACTATATTTTTAGCCACCTTTCTCCTCACCCAGCAACTTTGCATCCCTAGCTCTGGCATGCAGTCAGCTGTGTGAAGCGCTTTGAGATGTCCTACTGATGTGAAAAAATGATATAGAAAGGTAAATTGTTGCCATTTTATTGTTATGAAAAATCTCTGTTTTAATCCCAATGCACGGAAAATGCTTGAGATTAATTAGCTACAATTCCCAATAGCACTATCTAAAGCCAAACTAGAATCAAATCTCTTTGGCTTTAATTGTACAGAAAATAAAACAGATGGTATTTGTTGAAAAAATAATAATTACAATAATTACAAGCCTCTACTGACTTGCAGTAGGCTTCCCAGTGGGGCAGGACTCAAAGTCATTACATACTCTGTACCCAAGCAATTTCCCTGAATACACCTTACCTGAAAATCAAATCAAACAATATTTAATTTCAATGGTCACAAACAATAACTATTTCATTTAATGGTCATGTCACATCTTCAGGATCTAACCAGAGGTAATCCACCATTATCATGACATTTATGGCATTGTCATGACATTCACCTACAAAATAACAATAATCCTTACATTTCGTATAGCACCTTTCATATTGGGGGGACATCCAAAAGCATTTTACAGGATATACTATGTGCATTTTGTGATGATTCCGGCAGTCAATTTGCACACGACAATGTTACAAGGTCATTAGTCATTAAGTGAATGATGAATTTTATCTGACCCATACAGACCCCAAAAGTTCTGGGTTTGATTCCATGTTGGTATGCACCGGGATAGCTGTTCTCAATGAGTGTAGGATTTGAGGTGTTTAACAGCCTTAGATTAAGCAGCAAAAATCTGCAGGGTTCTGACAAGACCGAGACCCTCCTGATTGGCGTCCGTCTGCACCTCAGAATCTCAGGCGCTGACAGCATCACCATCCAAGGATGCACACTCCACCTTGCTATGCCAGTCCAGAACCTTGGCATCTTGTTTGACCCTCATCTATCCTTTCTACCCCACATCTGTGCCATAACCATAATCCCTCTCTCCCCATCTTCAAAACCATTCATCTTAAATTTTAGACCACCATTGGTGGTTGGGCCTTCAGCTTTTCTGCCCCACCCTCTGGAACTCCAACCCAGAATCGCCACACCTCAACCCCTCTTTTGCCTTCTTCAGGCCCGTCTCAAACATTTCCACTTTGATGGTGCTTTTGGCCATATTCCCCTTCTCCCTACCCTTCACCCCTTTTGATTCCACACCCCTCGGGATGTATTTCCACCGTGAAAGGCGATATATAAATGTAATTTTGTTCTTGTTTGCTGTTGTCTATGTGTGGGCATTGGGCGAGGACAGGATTAAGTCAGGTTGCATTCACACCCCTCAGATCCCCCATAGCCTGGGCTGATATTTGACTATAGGGATTTTATGATGGGCAGAAGAATATCTGGAAAATCTGTCAGCACCAGGAGAAGAATGGAGAAACTTGGAAGAGATGAGGATGGAGTCTAACTGGTAGTATTTTTATCAGGCTTCCTTATTAAATCACACAAATTGTGGCTTATTCTGGCAATCAGAAGCACATCACTCTGCTGTAGAAACATCACTCTGATACAGTCTACTACCAGAGCAGATTTCCCGTGGGTTGTTGGGAATTTTAAGGCATTCCTTATTGAGGAATTCTGATAAGACCTCATTATTTAGTATTGCTTATCGTAAAATTAAATATTTTTTTCAAATAACAAATGGCAAATATGCTTGGTTCAGCATAGCTGAAATAAAAATTATATCAAACCTGTGACTTTAAAATAATGTAGTTTTATACAGAAACACTCTACCGAAAGGAAAGAGGCTGGAGTGGGATTATTATAAGAATGTAAAATGAAAATCAAATTCTAGTCATGGTGATAATTCAACTAAAAATTGTCCTGTGATTTGAACATTTCAATGTACCGATTTTGCCAGTCATTTACATGACACCAACAAGCCTTGAATATTATTTTTCCTACAAAGACTGCACAAAAAATATTAATCTGCAGAAATTAATGTGCAAAAAATCTCTTTCCAACTCTGTCAAGGAAGTAATGTGGTGAGTCTTACTGCCATTGTCGTGGAGTGTGAAGTTTGGGTTTGTGGCACTCTCGGGTGACAGCTTGAAGTGAAACTGCTGCTCAGTGAGTGGTTTATCTTTGTCTTCAGCACCGATAGACCCAATTATCTGAAAAGATCACAGCAAGGAGAGATGGTGAGAAACTGTTAACAAATTCTTTAAAATCGACATAGATTTTGAAAATTGTTACTCTAGCGTATCAAATCGACCAAGCACCCTACCATTTATCCGTTCAGGATAACAGACTTTGTGATGTTCGTAATGTTTGGACAGTTTATCTGTTTGTCAAATTACCTTCACTGAATTTTTACAAAAATACTGAAATAAGGAGCAACCGAAGCCTGCAAATACTATTCTAAAATAAAATTTTGACATATTTTAATCAGAAACACTCTACAGAAAGGAAAAAGGCTGGAGTGCGATTATTACAAGCATGTAAAGTGAAAGTCAAAACCTAGTCAGAGTGACAATCTCTTTGTTTTAGCATTCACAAACTCAGATTTTCTCAAGCAGAAATGTGTAAAGATAGTCAATGGGCCATGGTACATGTTTCCTGTGCAAATGGGTTGGTTATAATGAGCTGAAGTGCACAGTCATCAAATTGTATTAGTGCTAAAATGTGCAATCTGGTCCTGTACACCTCTGCAAAGGGCATATTACAAAATAAATCTAACAAGAACTTGTCAGTGTATATAATATGGGTATTACTATATTATTTTCTCTCTGTTGCATTTTTTAAGTTTTAATTTGGTCTTTAATATTCACCTTTTAAGGCCATCCATGACGTTGCCCCCTCCTACCTTCTGACCTGCTGACTCCCTACCAACCTGCCCTCTCCTTCCATTCATCGGGCTCTGGTCTGCTCCATGTCTCCCGCCCGACCCACCCTACTATCGGTGGCCGGGCTTTCAGTCTCTCTGCCCCCACACTCAGGAACTCCATCCCACGGTCCCTTCGCCACGCTTCCTCCATTGCCTCCTTCAAGGCTGGCCTCAAAACCCTTCTCTTCGATCATGGCTTCGGTCGCCCTCCCACCTCTCTACCTTCCCTTACACCTACAAACCCCCTCCCCCATGCTCGGGCCACGACACCCGACTGTTCAGCGCTTTGGGACGTCCTCCCGATGTGAAAGGCGCCCTATAAATGTAATTTTGTTGTTGTCGTTGTTGTTGTAGCCTATGGTGCAATATTCACCTTTTAAGACAAGACAGTTTTGGATGAAGAAACCCCTTCAACTCATTTATACTCTTCCAGAATTCCCACCCTATTGCCTTTCCATTACAGCATCGAACAGTTATATCAAGTGCTCAGCATCCTGGTCTCCCACCTTCTTTCCTGGTAACTCATTTCAGCTATTAAATACCCTCTGGGTAAAGACATACTTTCTGATTTATGCCACAAAATTACCCTTAAACTTGTACTTCAATTGAGCATCTCACATACCATTATTTATGTACCTTGCCTCTGAGACATCTTTTTTCAAACTTACTAATCGTTTCTCACAGTACACCATCCAACATTGGAGTACAGCTCTATTGCTCTTTTCTATACTGTGAGTTGCACCAAATACAGAGGTAAGTTATGTGGTTTAATTGTTAACCCAGATTATACAGTTCTATAAGAATAGAGTATAGAAACATTACTTACTATCTTGGAGGATGACATAATGTATAATAATCCTTGCATTTGATATAGTGCCTTATCATGTTGTTGAGACATCTCAAACAACAACGACAACAAAATTCCATTTATAGAGCGCCTTTCACGTCGGGAGGACACCCCAAGGCACTGTACAGTTGAGCAGGGGGAAAACGGTCAGGGTGAGGGGAGGGAAGGGAGGGAGGGACGAGGGCATAGAGAGTTGAGAGGGGAGCTGAAGGCACGGTCAAAGAGAAAGGTCTTGAGACCGGCCTTGAAGGAGAAAAGGGAGGAAGCAAGGCGAAGGCACTGGGGGATAGGGTTCCAGAGCCTGGGGGCTGAGAGGCTGAAGGCCTGGCCACCGATGGTAGGGCGGTTGGGACGGGGGATGTGGAGCAGACTGGAGCCAGAGGAACGGAGGGTACGGGCAGGTAAGTAGGGGGATAGTAGGTCGGAGAGGTAGGAGGGAGCAAGGCCGTGAATGGCCCTGTAGGTGAGGATGAGGATCTTGAATTCGATCCTCTGGGGGATGGGGAGCCAGTGGAGGCGAGCGAGGGTGGGAGTGATGTGGTCCTAAAGCCTGGTGCGGGACAGTACACGAGCTGCAGAGTTCTGAATGACCTGCAGCGTGTGGAGGGAGGTGCCGGGAAGGCCGGTGAGGAGAGAGTTCCCATAGTCCAGCCTTGAGATGATAAAGGCGTGGACCAGAGTTTCAGCAGCGTGAGGGGTGAGGTAATGCCGTAGTCTGGCGATGATCCGGAGGTGATGGAAGGCGGTGCCAGTTGTGGCGCGGATATGAGGGAGGAAGGACAGCTCAGGGTCGAACAAAACGCCGAGGTTCCTGATGGCTTTGAGAGGTGGAGAGTGCAGCCTTGGATGCTGATACTGTCAGCGCCTGAGGTGCGGAGGCGCTGATGGGAGCCAATCAGGAGGGCCTCAGTTTTACGCACGTTGAGCTGAAGAAAGTTATCTCTCGTCCAGGACTCGATGTCGGACAGGCAGGCTGTCAGGACATCGGTGGTCGTGGAGTTGAGGGTAGAGGAGGAAAGGTAGAGTTGGGTGTCATCCGCATACATGTGGAAGTTAACCCCATGTCTGCGGATGATGTCACCGAGGGGGAGCATATAGAGGGTGAAGAGGAGGGGACCGAGGACAGAGCCCTGAGGGACACCACACGAGACAGTGCGGGGGTGGAGGAAAGCCGTTTGTGGAAACAAAATGAAGACGGTGGGAGAGGTACGACCTAAACCACTCAAGGACAGGGCCTTGAAGGTTGAGGTGGGAGGACAAGCGGTGGAGGAGGATAGTGTGGTCGACCGTATCGAATGCTGCCGATAGGTCGAGGAGGACGAGGAGGCAGAGGGAGCCCTGGTCACAGATGGTCAGGATGTCATTGGTGACCTTGACCAGGGCAGTTTCTGTGCTATGGGCAGCACGGAAACCTGACTGAAGGGGTTCGAATAATGAATGGGTGGAGAGGAAAGAGCGCAGCATGGAGGTGACAACTCTTTCAAGGACCTTGGACAGGAAGGGGAGGTTGGAGATGGGCCGGTAGCTTGATAGCTGCGACGCATCAAGGGAGGGTTTTTTCAAGGTGGGAGTGATGGTGGCAGTTTTTAAGGGAATGGGAACAGAGCCAGAGGAGAGGGACAGGTTGATGATGTCTGTGATATGTGGGGCAAGGAGGTGGAGCTGGGAGATAAGGAGTGGAGTGGGGATGGGGTCAAGGGAGCAGGTGGTGGGTTTCAGGGATAGGATGAGTTTGGTGACAGAGGGTGGGGAAACGGGTACGAAAGTGTGTAGGGGAGGATGGGTAGGAGTCGGAGTGTGGGAGGGAGGGGTGGGGGTGGGTGGATGTTGGAGGGGAAGTGACCGCGGAGCGAATTCCCTTGATTTTGGATTCAAGGAAATCCAGCATCTCCTCGCAGTGAAGGTTGGAGGAGATGACCTGCGCGGGGTGGCGGGGGGGACGGAGGAGTCGGGTTGTGGTGGAAAACAGTAGCCTGGGTTGTTCTTTGCCTCCAGGATTATCCTGGAGTAGAAGGACGACTTGGCCGAGGCTAGAGTGGAGCGGTTGATTTTGAGGAGTTCCAGCCAGATTTGAAGTGGTGGTCGGAGACGGCCTTGTCGGTGATGGTGACATCCGAGACACTGAGGCCCCGGGTGATCACCAAGTCGAGTGGGTGGCCATGACTGTGAGTGGGGGAGTTAATGTGGAGGGAGAGGTTGAGTGAGGAGAGCAGGGAAGAGAAGTCCGAGGAGATGGAGCAGGACGGGGTGAAGTGCAGGTTGAAGTCGCCCAGATGATGAGGCGATCAGAGCAGAGGTAGAGAGATGTCAGAAGTGTTCAAATATCGGAGATGAAGGTGGGAGAGGTTTTAGGGGGCCGGTAGAGGAGGAGGATTTTGAGTGAGAGGAAGGAGGAGTGGGAGAGGGTGAGGTGCTCAAAAGAGGGAAAAGAGCCAGAAGAGTAGGGGGATAGGGCAAGTGGTGTCCTTGCGATAAGGGCTGCACCACCGCCATGGCGTTTGGGGAGAGGGATGTGTTGGGAGGTGTAGCCAGGTGGTGTGGCCTCCGTGGGGGGGAAGGTGTTGCCTGGGGTGAGCCAGGTTTCCGTTAAGGCCATGATGTCAACGCTCTCATCAAGGGTGAGATTGTTGATGACCAGGGCCTTGTTACAGAGGGAGCGGACGTTTTGTAGTCCGATGTGGAGGGAGCGGTTGACAGAAGGGTATGTGGGGAGGGAGGGGGGTCCAGGTTGTGAGGCAGGAGTGGGGGGAATGGGGATGAGTGAGGAGAGGTTGACTCCCCAGGTCTGTGTCCGGGGTGGCTGGCGAGTGTTGTGGGGAATGGGGCAGTCGGTGTGGCTGCTGCTGGACAGCCAATGCCGAGTGCCACAGTGAGCCCGGCGGAGGATTCCCAGGCTGGAACAGAGGGAGGTTGTGGGAGTGTCAAGTGGGGATAGAAGGCGAGAGGGACGGAGAGAGAGGAGGAGAGAGCGGGAGAGATGCAGGAGGTGAAAGGTTTGGGGGGAGAGAGGAGGGGTGAGGGAGGGAGGGGCTGAGGGGGCTCGGGTCAAAGCGGCAGCCATAGTGTGCATGCGGGGACCGGGAGCGAGCGGTCAGGTGGATGGCATTAACCCATAGGCTGGGGTTGGGGTAGCCACCCAACAGGACCATGGTGGGCCCGGATGTGAGCTCTGGGGGGGAGGGTGGGGGGGGGGGGCGCTGAGTTTTTTTTTGTTGCGTGCACACACTCCTGAAAACTAAACTATGACGTCAGCGGTTCCCCCGATCCGCCCCCACCCCTTCCCCCCACACCCCCTAGCTGCACTCCCTGCCGCCGCGAGCTTAAATACCTGAGTAAGTAGGCGCAGGCTCAAAGCGTTTCACAGAATATACTGTAAAGTGACTTGACTGTATATTTTGTGGGTGAAACGTGGCAGTCAATTTTGCACAGCAATGTCCCAG